GAGGGAATCTCCCCCTCAATGGCCACGTTTGTGGTTTGAGGAGGAGATCTTCTCTTGGGAAGCCTCAGATAATCGAGCATTGAAGCTCAATTCAAATTTTAATTGAGACTCATTAATACATAATAAAACTTTAAGAAAAATTAAGAAGGGTGATCTTTACATTACCGGGTCCCACTGTCCTTAACAATTCACATATATCCTTAATAAAATCACTAGTTCCCACTGTACTAATGTCAAACTACCCATAACCAACCTAAACTCATTTAGATGCTTAACCTTCTTTGCTTCTCATTTCCTTAAGCTCCACATCAACTTATAGTATTGTCCTCATTCTCCAAACTTAGCACTAATTTTTGCCCCTAATGTGCCGAGGGGACGAGAGAAGCAGGCTAACCCCCGTGGCCCATTCCAGAAGTTGGCTGAACATGTCTAGCCCCGTAGTGGGCCGGATTGGGTCGGGCCAAACTGCAGGATAAACGAGCGGGCCAATGAGCTAACCCGGCTCACTACTCACCCCTAATAAGGATGATTGGCAGCGTAGGGGAAGGGCTCATTGAGGGCATTGGCGGTCGCATATGGGATGTGAATAGTGAGAAGGGTTACTGTTCATAATGGGTTATTGGCCTACTGTTCATGGGTGAACAGTAAGCCAAAAAATCCCCCCCTTGCTGATTGCTTGCTTTGGAAACAATGGATGTTTGGAGGCTTTTGTATTTTTCTGGAGGGGACTTCGAATGTAAGAAAACTAAAGATAAAAAATAAAGGCAATGAGTTAGATTGCATTCACTCACGGACATCTAACCTTCGAAATAAGGGCTTCACACATAGCAACTCACATGCTTCAAAGAGAGTTCTCAATAATCAAATTTCATTAATCAATACCTATTCCCAAAAGGAACAATACACTTAATTAAAAAAGAAACCTAATGCCAAAAGATAGAAACAAATATTCTCTCTGACTAAAATATCGACAAAAATTAGCTTCATAACTAAAAGTCAAACCTTAAATGCCAACTATATTGTATTAACTGAAAAGAAAGAGAAAATACCCTAACCATCTTTTCAAATTGAAACAAATATATGTTGGTGGTGATATCATAAGGGAAAAATTCCAATCTAAGAATATTTGTGCTTTTGCTGCAGGAATCATTTGGCATTAGTTTTTACATATTAACCGTGCGGACTGAATGTTTGTGGCACAAATTTTAGTAAGAGGACCTTTTATTTTCATGAATATAAGATCCCTATAAGGAGGTAGTAAACGTATAGTAAAATGATCCTACATCAGTATAATAAAATGACTACAAGGCAGTATTACTATGAATGGTTGTAAAACTTCAGATAATTATGAATGGCTAAAGGGGGAAATACATTCAAAGGCAATGGATGCTGAAAAGCAAAATAGTCTAAATGAGATGAGCATACATCTTGTTGTTCAGACCACTAAACCTGGAGGATAATGATCTCAAAAGAAACTACATATTGATACGTCAGTGCACTGTATTGGTAGCAAAACTTTGTCTTCTATCAGGGTTTTTTTTCTGACCGAGATATTTGAAAATGTCGTCATTTCATTTATCATGGTCGGCTCTCCACAATGTAGGTGAAACATAGTGGGATATGAATACATTTGTATTATGATTGGAGCTGATGGATGAATGTTTTGTTTTCTTCCTTTCGTTTTGTGCGTGTGTAGAATAATGCTCCTAGCTGGAGGTCTTTAGTAAGCACGTTATTGACTCATGTCTTGGTAATTTAAGTTACTATACCATGTAATAATTAAAAAATTACCAAATTGTAGATTATAAAGTATTGGAATGGATTAATGATTAATACAGGCATGAGAAGGCCAGAAATTGTCAAATATCAGAAGTAGCATAGGCACTGAATTATTCACAGACGTGTCAACACAGAATCTGACAAAATCTCGCATGCAATGTTAAGGCAGTTTTGTAAGGAAAGGTACTAATATTGAGGCATTAAACACAAAAAGCAAAATATCTACATTTAGTAGGGGAAAGATTCTTCCTAAAATTCTTACATGTCTACTTGTCTATCTCTGTATGACACCTCAAATATTATCTGTGTCAACTTTTATCAACTTAGCTACTTCATTTTCCCAGAGCATATGGAGTTAGGCATAGGATGTAAGATTTTTTGCATCATCAAGCAATTAGGTATATGATGTCAATGATGTTTGTCTCTCATATCAAAATTCACAGAAAATTAACTATTTTCTAACTTTTCTTGATGTATGGTCCTCCAGTAGACAAATACCAAACTCAAACATATACATAAATTCAAACTTAAATAAAAAAGAAACATGTCTATAGCATTTTCTTCATGTCTAGACTTGAAGAACTGTGTCTGAGACACCTTATCCATTTTTTAATTTGACATTTGTGTTCATGTCCTCAAATCATAGTTTGATGGAAGTTATACTAGATGATTTGAGAAAGGCATAAATTTACAATGGAAGTCCTGCCAGCTGCTACTCATGGCAATACAGAACATTATTTCTGATTGTTTTTCATTGTAACCTGTAGAAATGAAGTCAAGCACAATCATGAATAACATTGTTGGTTATTTCTGATTGTTTTTCATTGTAACCTGTAGAAATGAAGTCAAGCACAATCATGAATAACATTGTTGGTTGTTAGTGATCCAATTTGAAGAATACAGTGACATCACCCTCATATCTCTTAGACTGTTAAGACGAACAAAATTTATAACATATGTTGGAGACGCAGAAGCATGCGTATACATCTTTTTCTTGATTATTACCTAAAAGCTTAAATATAAACTTATGGAGAAGACTGCATCACCATCTCCCAAGTTGGTCTATAATTCAGGGTAGGACCCACAGGAAAGAGGTTGCTTTATCGAAACAGGAAAAACACGCGTGCTAGCATGCACGCGCGTGTACAAATTCGGGATTCCTAAGAAGACAATATTTTAAGACCTAGGCTGGGAGCACACACTAATTCAGGAGTCCTAAGAAGACGTGCCTTAAGATTCTAAGCCGCTAAACTTATTTGGCTCTAAAAGATCATTCTTCCTGCATTCTACATGTGCAAATGGATTTAGTTATTTTAAGATATAGCCAATATTTGTAGGTTTGTTTGCAGTTCTGTAGTAATTTCACTAACCTCTCTGCATCCAGTGTAAACAGAAGCACAATGATGTTTTTGTTTTCAGAACCTTTTGTATATTTCAAGTTCATTTCTCAATGGTATGCTTTTGTAGAATCGATTTTAATTGTTGAACATTTTCTATTTCCAAAAGGCTCTGTGTTTCAACATCTAGTGGGTGTTATAGTTTCAATTGTTCATTTCTTGCAAAACAAATCTATATATTAAACGGGGATGAAGAGGTTACAGCTAATACCAGCGACAGTTTAATATCATATCATTTTACAGTTTTACTGTCATCTCTGTATGCATTGTTTAACATGCTTTAACTCAGCAATTTGGTTTGCAGCACAAAGGTGTTTCAAAATCCAGGAGTGCGGCTATATGGCTAATCTATGGGGGAAGACTCCCACCGTGTGATCTGAGAGGGAACACAACGCGGCGCCCTTTGCTGATGTTATCCAAAGTCTACTAAAATTGGGATGTTTTTGGTTTTCATTGTAGAAAAATATTTTGATTGAAATAATTATATTAATGATATTTTTGCTGCATAATTGAAGACATGCTTTTCTCACCGTCATTGTGTCAGAGTGAAGTATTTGCTATCGCTCTTGCTAATGGTCTTCAAATTGGGCTATGATTGACATTTATAATTGGAATTCTAATAGTATCCCCTGGAATAAGGTGTACTTGTAATCAAATGTGACTCCTGTAATGTTATATACATATGTTTTAAGCCTCGTTTGTACAAACTAGTATGTCATACGTGCGTTGCACGTGATGCATGATACAGTTATAAATTAACATATGTTATTAAATTAGTTTTTAATGTTAAATTTATAATTTAATAAACAAGTTTTAGCTTGGTTATCTCAAAACAACAAAAACTTTAGGGATCCACTCTAATATAGTATCAAAATAAGTTTCTTATGAAGAAAATGACTACCAAAAAGTATCCTTATGATCTAGACTCAGTAGTTTTTACGTAGTGGTTCGCTTTAGATTATTAATTTAAGGATATTTTAACGTTATCTAATTTTTTATATTGTTAAATTGAGCACACATCATTTTTATTAAACCCTCAATATCTTGTAATTAAAATTTACTATTGACTCTTCAAATAATTTGATTATCCATCCTCTTATATTTTTTTCTAGAAGTTACTCTTTAGTGCTCGTTCTCTCCTTTCCTAGGAGTCCAAATCAAAATAGTTAGAGCAACTCCAAGGGGCTCCATATCCCATGTCTTAGCTCAAATTTAGGGAGTAGGAGGTGAATATTTGGCTCTGTTTGGTGGAAAATTTGTAGTAAAAAGAATGAAAGAAAATTGACTTGTATTCTCTCAATCTTAATTACAGTTTGAATTCCGATTACAAAAGAGAGGAGAATTGATCTGAATTCTTCCCTTTGTTTAAGTCTGGGTTCTTCACGGTAGCGATGAGATGCCTCCCTCGAATGCTCGCGTCGAGTTTGCTTCTCGTTGACGATCCGAACGTATTGTTTCACTGGAACGATATATTCTCCTCACAATTTGACACTGTGGAGGATTTGCAAAGTAAGTTTTAGAACTCTAAACGAGTTGAGAAGAACTCTTTGAAAGAGTTCAAAAGCCAAGCCGAGTAATCTCAAAAGCTTCAATAAAAGCCTTCTAAGATGATTCAATAGTTCCTCCAAGTTACTGATCTCCAAAGCTCCAAGAAGATCTGAAGAAGCCGATCCAAAGATCTCTTCTTCGCTGCCAAATCTAAGGACGAAGGATGGAGGATCCAAAGACCCGAATTCAGTTGAGTTTACCACTATTTTTAGGAGATTAAGGGGTGTAACCGCCCCCTTAATTCGCTCCTAAGTGGGGCTGAATTGGGTATAACCGCCCCCTTAAATAGCTCCTCAAATCGTGGGAAAAACGATTTTGCAACCGTTCAATTCGTGCTTTGAACGAGTCAAACGTCAGTCTGGGCGTTCTGGATATCCGAACTCTGCGTTTTAGACTTGAAACGCAGAGTTAGGCATGTTTTTGGCTGAAAACGCCGTGTTCGCGCTGCGTTGTTGATCTAAAACGCAGAGTTGGGACGCAGAGATGACCTCCGCATTTTGAGTCCACGAACTCTGCGTTTTTAACTGGAGCGCTGAAGATGACCTCTGCGTTTTGACTCTGGGACGTGGGCATGACCTCTGCGTTTTGATGTTGTAACACAAGGATGACCTCTACGTTTTGATGTGAAGATCGCATCAATTTGTGGTCTCTTTTGCTGGAGCATTGCAAAGACCGTCATCTTATAATCTTTATCTTGGCTCCTTGAAAATATGAGAGTCGTCAGATTAAAACTCCCGATGTTGATTATGAAGGCTGTTGATTAGAGCTTTCATTAGTTTTTACGAAGGTCGTCAGATTGTAACATTCATCGATCTATGTGAAAGTCTTCAAATTATAACATTCTGAAAGTCGTCAGATTATAACTTCCATCATTGGTGTTTGACGGGGATTGGCTATCTGTTATGATTTTTAGACAGCCTACAGGCTCCAACAAGCTCCATATATGGTGTTCCAAATATAGGGTCCTTGATTTGGTATTCCAAATCAAAGACAAGAAACATCACTCCCTATATCTGCAGTTCTTTGCAACGGCTCAAATGCAATGGCTATATTTACATTCAAGCCCCTCTCATTCTCCTTTCATTTATATATATTGCATCTTTGTATAGGATAAATTAGTTCATCTCATAATTATTTTGCACTTGGCATTCTACTATTTTTCTTTAAAGGTAAGTAAATTAGTTCATCTCTTAATTATTTTATTTCTCTCATATTTTATACTTACAACTGATTTATTAGTATTCATTTCATTTTAATTTTTTTAAAACTAATTATAGCGTTGACATTAATTTGTATTATTTTTGGACAGATGGATTATTACACTTCTCTCCTAAATCATGGATCATTGTCTGATAGTGATCTACTGGATGAAAATCCTAATCAATCTGTCATGCCAGTTGAGTTAGCTGAAAATAAATTTTCTAGAAAAACTAGACGGACTAAAAACTTCACCGAGGAAGAAGACATTCTACTTGTATCTGCATGGCTCAACATAAGCATGGATGCAGTGCAAGGGATCAATCAAGAAAATGAAAGATATTGGGAAAGGGTGAATGATTACTTCCATCAATTCAAGAATTGTGAATCTCAATGGACGACAAGTTCTTTAATGAAACATTGGTCGTTAATTTAACTTTCTGTAAATAAATTTTGTTAGCTCATGGACGTGACCAGCATACATCCAATGCCACGCAGCCAGAAAATTCTTCCATCTCCAATGCATATAGTCTATGCTCCCTAACATTCCAGGAAATCCGCGCTGTTCACCAATCTCTAGCAATCTTCTGATATCGTCGTTGTTTTGTGACCTCAAATACTTATCGATGACAATTGCAACAACGACCTTGACAAACCTTTTAACACTTTCAATAGTTGTGCTTTCACCAATCCGCACGTAATCATCCATAAAATTTGCAGATACTCCATAAGCAAGCAACCGCATTGCTGCTGTTATTTTTTAAAGGGATGATAAACCAAGATTACCTGCATCATTCCTTCTTTGGACAAAGTAAGGATCAAAATCTTCCACCGCGGATGTAATTCAGAGGAAAAGTGGACGATGAATTCGAAACCTCATTCGAAATAGTCGTGGACCATAAACGGGATCCTCAGCGAAATAGTCACGATAAAGTCTATTATGACCTTGAACTCTATCACGTTGAATGACAACATGGCCTCGAACGGAATCAAGACGGCACGATGCACTCCTCTCGTTAGCCACTCGCTCCTCTTCAACAACGGTCATTCCTAAGACCATTGCATATTCCTCGTCAGCTTCTTCTTCCATTAGGAGCGTAGCTATTTCGTTGTTATGAGACATAGATGATATTTGAAAAATGATGCTAACAATGAACACAATTTGAGTTGAGTGAAAAGTGAGAGTTCATATGATATTATTTATAGAGGTCATGTAATTGTTATGATATAGCCGTTGAAATATAGCCGTTACAATATAGTCGTTGGAATATAGTCGTTATAATATAGCCGTTATAATTATTTATTACAAAAGGAGGTAAGTGAAAATATCCAAAACTATTTAGGGAGTCATTTGGGGAGCATTGATGGATCACTTGCTCCTTATTTAGCTCCCTATATACTAGGATGAGAGATTTACTCCTCAAATATAGGGAAAAACTGAGATTACTCTTGGAGATGCTCTTAGCTATTATATTAGCACATCGCATAGAATTTGTACAACATTAGGCACAGTTCTATGGTATAACTACAAGTGAGTTATTCATTCTTCTAAATAAAGAACATGAAGAAATTATTGGTCAAATATTTCTCATATTTACCTTAGTCAAGATGAAAATTGTGTCTTTCTACATACATAAATAGACCTTTGCATAATATAATCTTGATTAGTCGCTCTAAAACATTATCCTTCATCATATTATTGCATATGCATAACTATATTTTTAATTTGGATAGTAGTTATATATGTTAAACAAAAATAAGAATAACTGCTTAACAAAAAATACAATTTCACGGGAACCCAAAAGTCCTCACAAGATAACGAACATGATAATTAGTGCTTAACCAAAAACATAATTTCAAGGGAACCTAATAGTCATTAGAACCACACAATCTTTAATACTTATAGTTATTGATAATTATTAAAATTGAGAGGGTATAAAAGGAAATCAAAAGTTTTAACATAGCAATCCTCTTTTATAGTGGTATAGACATCATAGTTTTGCATATGCATAACTATATTTTTGAGCTGGATAGTAGTTATGTAAAACAAAATTAAGAATTAGTGGTTAACCCAAAATATAATTTCACAGAAACCCAAAAGTCCTCACAAGATAACTAACATGAAAATTAGTGCTTAACCAAAATATAATATTGGTTAGTTGCTCTAAAACATTATCCTTCATCATATTATATTGCATATGCATAACTATATTTTCGAGTTGGATTGTAGTTATGTTAAACAAAATTAAGAATAACTGCTTAGCCAAAAATACAATTTCACGGGAACCAAAAAGTCCTCACAAGATAACTAACATGATAATTAGTGCTTAAACAAAAACATAATTTCAAGGGAACCTAATAGTCATTAGAACCACACAAACTTTAATACTTATACCTATTGAGAATTATTAAAATTGAGACGGTATAAAAGAAAATCAAAAGTTTTAACATAGCAATCATCTTTTGTAGTGGTATAGACATCATATTATTGCATATGCATAACTATATTTTCGAGCTGGTTAGTAGTTATGTAAAACAAAATTAAGAATTAGTGGTTAACCCAAAATATAATTTCAGAGGAACCCAAAAGTCCTCACAAGATAACTAACATGATAATTAGTGCTTAACCAAAAACATAATTTCAAGGGAACCTAATAGTCATTAGAACCACACAGACTTTAATACTTATAGTTATTGAGAATTATTAAAGTTGAGAGAGCATAAAAGAAAATCAAAAGTTTTAACATAGCAATCGTCTTTTATAGTAGTCTATAGATATAGACATAGATATAGATAGATTGTGTTCTCTGGAGTGCGTGTTCCATCTAAGTAACTTCTAATTGTAAATTCCTAGCATATTTTATGCTTGAGGATTATAAAGAGGAAACATTTTTTAATTAGATACATTTTATTGAAATTAAAAATGAAAAAAGGAAAACGGGGTCACCATTGTCATTTGTCAATTAATGATCTGAACCTAGTAACTTATCATTCAAGCATCTAAAACAATTATTCTTTGTTGCATTGTCCACGATAATTACCGTTAGAGGGCAAGCGAAGCGCACGACGTTCCTAGCAGCGCTGGAGTCTGTTCAGTTTGTGCAAGATGTTGGGTTTAGAAAGGGCAAGTTCAGCCAGGGATGCTCTGAAAATGTCATTTGAACTATCCGAGGTCAGGCTCCGGTATTTTTTTTAGTTTTGGGCGTATCATAGACGAAACTCGGAAGGCATGATCGAGCGTTGGAGCAATATAGTTTTGGCGAAGAACTAAGAATATCGCGTGGCTCATGCATTAGTAAGAAATGCGGTTGATTTCGACGATTTTCAAGCATGAGTCAAATGAATATCCCCCAACGTGCCGTAGGATGCTCGTGGTGTTAGGGTTGTATTGCCTAATTCTCTCTCTCACAGACGCACGCGCACACACCAAGAAAAAATTATTTCAATCTTAGCTACACACGATAAGAACAATTTCGTAATTTGCAATAGGACCCCATGGGAAGCCATGCTGAAGAGAATAAATAGGACGACGACACTTTGGGCGGTTTTGTCGGTCGCTATTTCCTTCTCCCTCATTAATTGGATACATTTCTCTTCGGCTGCATTTGAGAACTTGGATTTGGGCCCTGGATTTTAAATTTAGGGTATTTTAAATTCAAATTTTTAGTTTGGACTCTAAGGTACCGTTTGGCAAAGGGTTAAGTGAGGGGTTAAGGAGACTTAACCCCTTCTTAACCTGCCAAACACAACAAATTTATATAAGGGTTAAAGTGAGTTAACCCTCCATAATTTGCCAAACATAAAAAATATAGAAGGGTTAAGTTAACCCCTCTAGAGGGGTTAAAATGAGTTAACCCCTCAAAATGAGGGGTTTACTAATACTCCTATTTAGATGGAATAAGAGTTAACCCTTCTAATTGTAAAAAAAATAGTCAAAATCATTATTATTCCCAAACACTAAAACTGATCATAAGGGCTAAAATAAAACTTATTTAACGGGTTAATAATTTAGTCCTTCGGATTATCAAATGGGCTAAGTACATTAATCCTTCTCTTTAACCCCTCTTCATTAACCCTTTGCCAAACGGGGCCTAAGGGGGGTTATTCATTGGTGTAATTTTGGGGATAATGGGATAATTTTTGGAACATCACTTTTTGGTGTTATTCATTGGGATAATTAGAATTGGAGTCAACTTTGTGGTGTTATTGGTTTGTTGGGGGGTAATTGGGGGACAAATACTCCATTTTCCCCTAAATTATACCAACTATATAAAGATCCCCTCCACCCCTTCCTCATAATTACCCCAAATTTACCCCATCCTCCATATTGGAACAATGTTGTTCCACTTTGAAGGCAATTGGGATAATTTTAAAATATTTTTATATTACTTAACTAATACATGCTAATTAAATTATAAATATATGATATGATATATAAAATATAACATATATTAATATTTTAATAACATAATTTAATAACATATATTAATAATATTATATAATAATATATATTAATATTTTAATAACATATAATATTATATATTTTAATAACATATATATAAATATTTTAATAACATATATTAATAGTATTATGTACATATATATTATATTAATATTAATTAGTAAATAACGTATAATATATTATTAAACATTTATAATACATATTATACATATATTATATTAATTTTTATATATAAAAAATATAAAATATAAAGTATTATATAATGACATACCATTATAATATAAATAGTAATAATTACAATATTAATAAAATATTATTGATATAATATAATATAATACATATACGTTTGAAATAATATAATATATATACTATCAACATTGATACCCATTAATCAGTATATTATTGCTAATTATCATGTTATATATATATTATTTAAATTTGTAATATAATATTTTATATTACATTGAATAAAGTAAAATATTATAATATTTTATAAAGTACATTATATCCTATGATACTATATTATAATATATTAAATTAAATAATATATTATTAAAGTATTATATTATATATATTATTCATATATTATATCAATTATTATATAATGTAGCATACTAATATAATATTAATTAGTAATTATTGTATAACATATTACATTTTTGTATAAATAAAATAATATATTAAATTAAATATTATATTATTAAAATATTATATTAAATATATTGATATTATATTATATTAATTATTATATATAGTATAGCATGCTAATATAATATAATATAATACAATATAATAATTAATAATAGTAATTTGTAAGTATAGTACAATATATTATATTTTAATATAAAGTAAAATAATATTTATATTATAATAATATACTAAACCAATTGGATAAGTTAATTTAGAAGTAATTAATAGATAAAATTATATTTTAATAAGGTGCCACATCATCAATTATCCCACATGAATTGTTAAATCAAATGCTGAAATTATCCCACTTTATTCTACTTTACCCTACTCAAAATATCCTAAAGGGATAAAATTGTTTCATTAGAACACTTTTCCTCCTTAGCCCCAATTTGTCCCAACCAATAACCCCTAAGTTGAGTTGAAATTTCAAATCTAATTATTTTAGGAGGAGAATTTGAAAGAGCTTTGCTACAGGGACCCAAAATATGGGACCAATAGAGGAGACAAGTGAGGTGTCCTCTTCCTATTGGATAATGAGTTGATCATCAATGATGATCAACTCATTATCCAATAGGAAGAGGACACCTCACTTGTCCCCTCTATTGGTCCCATATTTTGGGCCATTGAAGAATTTTTCAATTTGAAATCCAAATACACATATTTCAAAGCACACACTGCCCTTTGTTATTTACCAAATCCTGACCGGACCAAATCCCGATCGCGACTCCTCTCTCATTTCTCAGTCCCCGACTCCTCCTTTCTCTCATTTCTCAGTCCCCGATCCCGATTCTCAACTTCTCTCTCAACGCAGGTAACCTCTATCTCTCCTCTCTCCCCTTCTCTCTCGTCGAAACCCTATATCTGATCTAGGGTTTAGGTCTTGATCTTCGCGGCTAAAACCCTAGATCAGACCTAATACCCACGATTTCATTATGACAATATTTTTAACCGATTATTTCTAATTTTTTGATGATTTCATTATGAATGCATTAGGGTTTGGTGATTTTGATGGATTCTTAGCTAATTCGAGCAAGGAGTGTTCGTCTCATCTCAAAGGTACAATTTTTTTTCATTTTATTGAGAATTTCGTTCTTTTTATTTTATTGTGATTTTAATTTACTTTTTGATTGTGGTGGCCAAACCCATTATGAGTTGCGGAGGAGTTTGTGTTTACAATTTTTATTAGGAGTCCTTTGTTTTGTTTGCTGTTTTGAATGCCAAATGGGTTGCCAAGGAGTTTGTGTTTACAATATGCCACAAATATAAATCCTTTCATATAGGTTTAAGCTTCTAGTGTGAAGTTCATTCGGTTAATTCAGCCTTTGTAACTTTTAAAATTTTGGCCCTATCATTTAGAGAGGCTTACCCTTGTCACAATTTGATATGGAGTTGTATTCTCTCGAGCAAGATTAAAGTTTTTGTTGGATTTTTACTGAAGGGTGTCTTCAAACAAAGTATCAATTACGACAAATGGGGATGGGAGGGTGATATTCTAGTGTGTTTGTGAAGATAAGTTTAGATCATTATGGAAGATCCTATTTCTCGCTTGTTGTATTGGATACTATGAACACAAATGAATAAAAAGCTTGAGTTTGAGCTAGGTTGAGCTTATAGCTGTATTCAAACATATGGGCATCAATTCTGGGACCTTATGAATCTGACATCTGCATTCTTAAACCTATGCTTAGTTGTCAATTTTTTTTTGCTTGTATCATTTCAGTTCAGTAGTCCATCAAGCATATTCCTAGATTACTTTTGATAGAGCACCAGCAAACAATTTTACTTCATAATTACTGAATGTTTTTCTTGAGCCAAGTTCATTGGATCAGCTGCTTGTATGGTTAGTAATTAAAGCAATCTTTTGATTGTTGTCTACTAGAGGTTACACTAAGAACTAAATTAAGTTCATTAAAAATCCTGCAGAATACTGCAAACTATCACCAAATCAATATCAAGAGACTATAATTGACCTACATTTCTGAATCACTATTTCTATGCATGAACTTTGTAGAAATAGAATTAAACAGTGCATATGTTTATCCTTAGAATATTAAAAACTCAACTTATTACATTCAATAGTATGCACTATTCTCTACCTTTTTCTTTATAAACAAACTGTTCTCTACCTTTGAATATAGGGTTAATTATTAGTGAAACTCCAGATGATAATGTCTTTCGTTTAGTTTAACTGGAAAAGGACTATATTCCCCTCTAAATAGAGGGAAAAAAGTTCGCCATATATTTCCCTCTAAATAGAGGGCAAAAAGGCCACCATTTGGGACTTTAAGCGCTGATAAAATAGATCGGGGCATAGGTGGTCATACCATAGTACATTGGGTTTATCTTAACCCTTCAAAGTATGCATTACCTTCAAGTGATTGCTCTCTAACATCATCCAAAGTATGTTTCTAGGTATTCCGTCATCTAGTGGAGACCGTTTGTTGTCGCTTGCTCTAGTATATTTTTAAGTATACATCAAAGTTACATATTTTTTGATTAAACTTGATAGTTTTGGATATGGTTGTCTTTTAATCTGTATTGTCACTCATTTTAATGTGATAGGTTAAAAATGATAAATGATGGAAGGGATTCAAGGATCCAACATAAACGTATAAGGGAAAATTTTGAGAGGAGAGAGGAGGAGAAAATTATTGTGGTAGTGGTCAGTTTTATATTTACTGTCATTGGTACTTGGTACTATACAAAGTACATGTTAAAGGAGAGTTCAAGAACACATGAAGAAGATGATGAAAGGACATACCTTATAAAGTCATCGATTTGAATTCTTATTTGTATTGTAAATAACCGTGTTGAACAACTAAGAATGAATCCTCAAGCTTTTAAGAGGTTATGTGATGTTCTATGTACTAGAGGGGGATTAGTAGCATCAAGAAATGTCACGATTGAAGAAATTGTCACTATGTTTTTGCATATTTTAGCTCATAATGTAAAAAATAGGACAAGCAAAACAGATTTTTATCGTTCGAATGAAACAATTAGTCGGCAGTTCCACAAAGTACTTCAAGCAGTCATGAAGATAGGAAGCCTTTATATTAGACAAGAATATACAAATCCTAATGAGAGAGACATGGAGAAGTGGAAATGGTTTGAGGTAACTATGGCTTCTTTTATTAAGGTTTTCATGTTTAATACTTTTATTTTATAGAACTAATTATAAGGTTGTGTAATTTTAGGATGCTATCGGGGCACTTGATGGGACTCATATCCAATTAACTATTCCTTTGGAAGATCAAAGTAGATATCGAAATAGAAATAGAGAGACCAGTACAAATATACTTGGTGTTTGTGATGCCAATTTGAGATTTTCATATGTGCTACCTGGTTGGGAGGGTTCAACTTCAGATTCTCTTGTTTTGCGTGATGGTTTGCCTCAGCCCAATGGCTTGAAACTTCTCTCAAGTAGGAATATAATTTTTTAATTATTATATATGTATTGTTTCCTAGTTTTTACATTGTTGTGACTGAAGATTTCAATTTTGTAGCTAAATACTTTCTTGTGGATGCTGGGTATACAAATGGGTCGGGGTTTTTGGCACCTTGTAGAGTGACTCGCTATCATATAAAGTATTGGAGAGAAAATGGTCCAAGAAACTACAATGAGTTATTTAACCAACGTCATTCCTCTGCTAGAAACACAATTGAGAGGGCATTCGATTGCTAAAAAAGTGATGGGCTATATTACGGACAGCTAGCTTTTACAGTGTTAAGACTCAAATTAGGATCATTAATACATGTTGTATTCTTCACAACTTTTTACGTGAAGAGATGAATGAAGACGACTTGTTGAATGATGTGGATTGAGAATTAGAAGATGCTTCTGTTTTAGAAATTGAGAATGTAGATGAGAAGTGTATCACCACTGTGAGAGTTACAGATGAATGGAGCAACTTTAGAGATGATTTAGCTATGCAAATATGGGATGAATACCGACTTTGAGATACTTTAGCTACAAGATGGAAATGAGGGTGACGAGCATGAAGATGCTGATGATTGGTTGTGTTCTACTTGAAGTTTGTTAATTTTCTGATAGTTAATTTATTTTTTACTGTTGAGTTTGTGATTATTTTTTTAAGGGATAATTATGTCTGGATGTTTAACTTCTTGTGTGAAACAAATTTGGGGAAATTTTGGATTGATCAGATAAAAGATGATTCCTGGAACTAAAGATTTGTACTATTTTGAGTATGAACTTGTGAGATTGATTTTTTGAAGTGAAATATATTATGCTGCTATTATGTTTTGAGATTGATCAATATCGGACTGATTCACTATTTTATTATCTTGTTCATTAGTTTTCACTTAGCTTCAAGAAATCTTCTTGTGTGAATGCTTAAGGAAATCTCCTTTCAATAGTATGTAGATAATTTGTCACTTGTGGTTGATTTCATAACTGAACGTTATCTTTGATCTGACTTCTATTGCCTCTCTCCTTTAGTTAATTGAGCTCTTCTTAGTCATATTTAGATAACTGGTTAGTCATTTAATTGTTGTCTTATTCTTTTTTCTTGGGTAGTTTATAATTTTCGTGCATGATAAAATGATCGGCTAAAATACCAAATTGGTATATTTATACAAACGCATTTACCAGGTTGGTATTTAAAAAAACTCCGGCGACAACAAGACATTAAAGATGGACCTTTTGGTCAACAAGGCACATTCTGTTCGCCAGAGTTCAAAACTCAATCTCGTCGCTCACGTGGCATTTAAAGGGGTGACGTGGATGATGATTTGACAGTTTAGTAATGAAAAGGTGGGAAATAACCGAACAAAAAAGCCCTAAATCTCCAAATCAACCCTAATTGCCAGATTCCCCTTTCCCTCCCCCTCCCCCCTTCCCCCAAGACTGAAACTTTCTGCTCAGTAGATAGTTCTCCCCCAAATCGGCAGTTGTAGAGAATCTCTCTGAGGGAGAGATCGTGGATGTGAGAGCGGTGGGTCTTCTCCTTTGCTGTAGTCTTCAAGTCGTGGAGGCAAATGTAAGACATTGTAATTTTTTTTCCTTTTCTTATGGCGATGGAGGGTGGTGGGTCTTTATTTTTGTAAATAAAATAGTCTTCACTATCTTTAGATGATTGCATGCATACGTCGTGTTTACTTGCCCCCAATTTAGGGTTTTGAAGTGAAGCCCCCCCTTTTTTTTAAATTGTTCATATTTTTTTTTGAAATTATATTGTTTTTAATTAAGTTAATTTTAAATTTATGCAGATGAGAGTAGTAATTATGGTTAAATTCCGACATGGTGGCTATTTTAATTATAATAATCATGATTACAACAATGATATATGTGATGTTAGGTTCATAGACAAGGATGTAATGTCTATTGAATATCTCAGAGAAAAAATGTAGAATTTGGCTACACGAATCAGTTCACATTGTGGTATTGTATTCCAGGCATGGGTTTGAGTCAAGGTCTGTTGCCTCTTACTTTGGAAGACAATTTGGAACTTATGTTACAATATGCTCGTAAAGAAAGGGCAGTTGAGATATTTTCAAATCATGGGGTTGACATGGCTGAATTGGTTGACATGGCTGAGGATGAGGATGGTGTGGAAACAACCAATGCACAAGATGAAATAGATCCAATGCAAGAGAATCAACCAATGCAAAAGAATGAGGTAGTGCAAGAGATACCCAAAAAGAGAAAGAAGTTAACACCAATTAGGGAAAAAAGTACGGATGAAGGCCAAGTGGAGGATGAAATTCAATCCAGTGATGATGATGACTCAGTGGAAGATGAGACATATAAGCTGGACCCTATAGAGGCATTTGATAATAAGACAGATGAGGATGATGAGAAAGGGTATGTTGATGAGTTCACTGACAAAGTAGAGAGCGGGAAAGTTAAACAAAATGGTTTGAATGAGGGGAGTAGCAGTGCAGCTGGATATGCAAGTGAAGATTCAATGTGTGCTTTTGATAGTGAGGCTGAGGGGGCTTTGGACAGTGATGTTGAGGAGTTGCATGAAATTAGAAGGATGAATAAGGATAAGGTAAGTGCTGCAATTGGTAGAATAGCATTCAATGCTGGTGCTAGATTGGTAAATGACGATGAGGGACCTCCTGTTAGAGTGGGGGTGTTTCAGCCACTTAACACAGAGGAAGTTCATGGTAATGCAGTACACAATGATAGAGCTGCTGACATGAATGCACAAGGGGGTAACACAGAGGAAGTTCAAGGTAATGCAGTACACAATGATAGAGCTGTTGACATGAATGCACAAGGGGGTAACACAGAGGAAGTTCAAGGTAATGCAACTTCAAACACAAGGGGCACTGTAGGCAAGAGAGAAAAATGACAATCTTTCTGGTTGAATTATGAGGGAGGGTATGAGTAAGGCCCGTTAGATGAAAGTGAAATAGAAGAATTCAATGACAAACTCCAGCCCCATCTCAGGTTAAGAAAATTCAGGATGAGAAAGAAGATTAAGTATCCATTCTTCAATGAGGACGTGGATATGAGTTCAGTGTACTTTGCATCTGGATTGAAGTTTACATCAAGGAAGGTATTGAAACAAGCTTGACGAGGCCATGGATTGAAGTTTACATCAAGGAAGGTATTAAAGTTTACATCAAGGAAGGTATTGAAACAGGCTTGAACCTCCAGATCTGTTCCTACTTGAACCTGAGCTTGAGCTTGAGCTTGACGAGGCCATGTTGGGACTGCCACTAATTTGAAGATCTGAGTGAAATGTGAGAAGGGATGATCTGAAACCCTAACTTCAAGTTCATCCCCAAATTTGATCGCGAGTGGGGAATGAGGAAGATGAGAATTTCAACGGCCTTATTTATCCACGCCATTACTAAACTGTTAAATCATCATCCACGTCACCCCTTTAAATGCCACGTGAGCAACGAGATTTTGAGTTTTGAACTCCGACGAACAGAATGTGCCTTATTGACAAATAGGTCCATCTTTAATGTCTTGTTGTCGCCGGAGTTTTTTTAAATATCAACCTGGTAAATGCGTTCGTATAAATATACCAATTTGGTATTTTAGCCTAAAATGATCAAAGCCTAAGAAAGCCTGAATATGACTTAGGGAAATACCTGCCGTTCATGCATGATTCCATCACAGAATTGGACCATGACATAAAAGTGTTCATTCTCTAGATAACCTATTTCCAAGTTAAAAGTGTTCATCCTGTAGACAACTATTTCTAAGTAATCTTTCGTACCACTAGACCTTTGTTTCCTGCTATGGACATCTTTTCCTACAGAGGAAAGAGCATGTCCTTTGGGCCCTATGGCGAGAACTGGAGGCAACTACGAAAATTTGCGTCCTAGAGCTACTAAGCGCTAAGACCCAAGAGTGTTCAATCATTCAGCAGAATCAAGGAAGAAGTCGAAAGTCTCATCCAATCTATTTCCTTGAAATCTACACATGGTTCTATCATAAATCTAAGTAATATGATGATTGAGATGGCCAACACGATAACAAGGGCAGCCGTTGGAAATAAGTTTGAGTATCAAGATAAGTTCTTAGCAACTTTGTTTGAAGGGGTTGTGTTAGTAGGGAGCACGGACTTGACCGATCTTTTTCCCATCGTATTCGTGGATGCTAAGCATGGTTAGTCAAATTAAATCCAAGGTTGAGAGATGCCATCAGAAACAAGATGAGATACTTGAGAGCATTGTCCAAGATCACAAAAAGCAGGAAAAGGTGGACGACAATAGCAGAGGTGAACTAACAGAGGATTTCCTGGATGTACTCCTCAGACTTCAGAAGAAAGGTGATTTTGAACTCAGCAACGATAACATCAAGGCCCTTATTTTGGTAACTACTAAGCACTAATTTAATTATTGTCTTTTCTTTCTTTTCTTTATAAGTGACTACATATAATTTTCTTTCAAAGCATAATTAGTTTTGTTTCCCAAACTGACTAATACATATGACTTGTCATCAAGTTTAACCATCCATTCCCTTCCTTTACAGATGTTCGAAACTCTCTATGAACAAACAGAATATGGATTTTGATTTTGATTTTTCCTCATGCATCAGGTCTCTGTAAAATGAAAATGTCCTATCATGTAATGAAAGACATATAATGACCAACGAGATCATTGTTCTTTCTTTTTATTCTCCTTTGGGAGAAAGGCAAGCCCCCACAATCATCACATAGTCTTCCTTATAGAAAATCTTGTGAGGAGAAATCTTGGTATCAAGGTTTAACATCTTTTTGCATGCTTGAGTGAGGCAATTATCCAATTAATTCATTCTATCAAGGTTTAACGTCTGTCTACAAGCTAACGATATGCGTCTGCTACTTCATGATGTATTTGGGGCTGGAAGTGATACCTCAGCTTCAACAATGCAATGGACCATGTCGGAGCTAATGAGAAATCCTAGGGTGATGAACAAGGTACAAAAAGAAGTACGTGATGCTCTCAGAGGAAAATCCAAAGTGATAGAGGACAATGTCAAAGAACTAAATTATTTGCAATTAGTAATCAAAGAAACTTTGAGGTTGCACCCTCCTCTTCCATTGTTACTGCCACGAGAGTGCCAAAAGGAGTGTGAATTATTAGACTATAAGATACCAGCTAAGACGAGTAGTTGTGAATGCATGGGCAATTGGAAGAGATCCACAATACTGGGAAGATGCTGAGGAGTTTAAACCTGAGAGATTTGAAAGAAGCATGATAGACTTCAGGGGAACAAACTTTGAGCTATTACCATTTAGAGCAGGGAGGAGAATGTGCCCAGGAATTCTATTTGGGCTGGGTACGATGGTACTTCCACTTGCTCAATTGCTTTACTACTTTGATTGGTAGCTTCCCACTGCCATAAAAAACAAGTCCGAGAGTCTTGACATGTCCGAATCATTTGGAATAACTGTCCATAAAAGTTTGACCTACTTTTGCGTGCCACTAATATTTCACATACAAAGAATCAATAAGTGTTATTGCAATATGTTAAATGCTAGAAAATACAGAATGGACGTAGGTATTGTTATGTTTGAACTTCTTTTTCTTTTTATGAATATTGATACTGTAATTATGAATTCAGTGTCTATATCTAGTGAAAATAAATATGGCCTAGAATCTGATCCAGATGGCAACCATATATTATTCAATGACTGATGTCCAAAAGGGAAATTATTTCAATCTTGTGTTTAATGTATTTGTCAGGAAAAAGATCATCTATTTCACATTATGCAGTTTTATATATACTTTGACCCACACGAAGTTGTTCAGTCTTATACATTACGATTACATTAGGAAATGTGTTCAAATATTTGAATGTATGTCCACTGATTATGTCAAATAATTTAATGTTAACCATTCCCTTATGGATATCCATGTTTGTCAAATTACAACACACTGTATATCAAAATAAGTGTTTTTGTCGCCATTCTTTTACACATTTATTTTTTCTTTTTCCTTCAAAATAGAGCAACTTCAATCAGAGTAACATGAAGCCAGAAAATATTATATCACAACCCAATCAATTTAGAATGGTATTGCAAAACTAGATGCTGACATGTAGAAAATACAAGTCGTGATGATATGAATATTATGCTAACAAGGTTATGGTCCAGATGCAGCAAGCATGAAGAAACCATCAGTGTAGCATGAAAAATTTGATCCCATTAAAAAAGAAATACTGAATGTCTATCTAGGATATAGAAATTCTTACTAGGAAACAACGAGTCATTGACCCCACCACCACCTTCTAGGTGGAGGGGGAGGTGTGAGGAGATCTAGCATTGTTTCCTTTTCCTTGGGGGTCAGTGGAACACCTCTCACAAGGTTCAGAGCCATGATGTGCACATTAGTTTTCTGCCTGTGCCTCTGATAGGCCCATACCCCAGCAGCTGCCCCTGCAACAACAACCTACCGTATCAATGAAAATATCAATAACTTATCAGTGTATCTTTAACCTTTAACATTTAGAGAGTCATGCAAATTGCACGTGCCATGTTTATGTTGTAAGTAAAGTGCATCCGTATCCTTGACTATAAGAAAATTTTAGGCCATTCAGTTGGAGGGAAGAAAAGGAAAAAAATGAAGTTATGGTTTCTCATCTCAAAATCACTTTCATGGGGGGAAAGATAGCAGCAACATAGAAGACAATTTTCTTGAAATTATTGCTGAGTTGCTTTCTTCTACACTATTTTCAAACAAGCAAATACTGGACGCAACAACGCTCCACAGTGACCAAACAGTTCCAGAATGCACATATTGGAGGAGAAAATTTAGATTAACAGCTTAATACATTTCCTTTCCAGACATGTGCCAGTGAGCATATATCCTGTGATGTTTGATTGAGCATGTGTGTCCCTAAAAGCAGATTTTGGTTTAGGCATGTAGTCTGAACAGAGGAATTAGAAGCAGTAGCAAAGTGGGAGTTGCATCCTGACAAATTTATCTTTCGTATTAAAATATATTTTTATTCTCCATAAGAATGAAGAATTATTTGATATACTTTAAGAATGGTAGTTTTCACAATTACTTACGGGTGATAACCACAAAGCTGCAGTCTGCATATCAAAACGAGGTGTAAAGTACTGTTTCCCCAAAATATTCTTCAAGCTTTTTATGTATCTCTTTATCACTTTTACCGGACCTAATCTCATCTCTAATAAGCTGCAACATAAGAAGAAAAGGAGAGTATCTCTTTATCACTTTTACCGGACCTAATCTCATCTCTAATAAGCTGCAACATAAGAAGAAAAGGAGAAATTAATTATCAACATTGCCACACTACTAATCTCATCTCTAATAAGCTGCAACATAAGAAGAAAAGGAGAAATTAATTATCAACATTGCCACACTAGAACCAGGGATGCAATTGCATCCAGAAAACAAATGAGATTTCACATAGATTACAAAACTTGTTCATTCATATCACTCAATAAATTGCTTCTGTTCCATACCTCTTCCATTTAGCATCTGACCTTAATGCTCAAAGTATTCAAATCTCTTTTCGCTGTTAAGCTTCCAACAAAATATATGTGATTGAGAGAATAAAAATTGAGAGGTTTTATCTTACTACGACAAATCTTTCACTCATTTTTTTGATTTTGACCTTGGTTTTTCCTATCATTTATTTCAAATGATAGTTAGAGTGATCGCATTAGGAAGGCATTTGTCCATTAAGCATTAATATTCCAATATTATTTGATGTGTTACTCTGTTAATAATTTCTCCCAGGTTAATCCCTTCAAAATACAGAAACCTAAAATTAAGTTGCTGAAAAGGAAACAGAGAAAATCAGGACAATATATGATCAACACTATGTTTAGATTATAAAGGGTGCATCAAAAACTATTTTCAAACAAACAATTTACGATGTTTTGAAAGTTACGGTGGTTTATCTGATAATCCTCCAAAGCCAAACGTGCTTTTCTGATATTTAGCTGTTTTGTTTACTCCTGGAACTCAGTACAAAGTTTGTGTATATGTACACTAAACACTGTTGGATACGGGCGCACCTAAATATTCGCCCGATAAGGGCTTTAATTTCACTGGCCAAATCCGAATCATTTCGGTCTCGCTATCAACTGTAACATTTTGGTTTCGGCCTATATATATTCCCTAATCAACTGTAAAAAGACGATTTTAGAGAAAAATCCAAAAAGGTAGCATTTTGTCCAATTCTTTCGCTATTCATCAATTATATATCCTTCATCAAATGCGTGGGTGTTCCAAATTTCGTTCATTTATTTCAGTTATCATGAGCTCATTATTTTGCACACAACCTGTTTGATAAAATCTTCATACGTGTCACTGAAATATTTTAGTATGCTAACTGCTGGGTACAATGCTCTAATGTGTTATTTATACCTTTAGTTGAAATGTATCAGTTTTGGTATTTTAAAAGTGTTGAATAATTGTGGCAATTTTGAGATATGAATAGTGATGGGGAGCGAAGAGGACAACAAGAAGACCCAGACAGTCGAAGCTCGAGCTAGAAACATTAGCCACAATGTTCGGTGCACTGAGTGCGGGAGCCAGTCCATTGAAGATTCACAAGCTGATGTTGCCATTCTTTTGAGGAAGGTGATAACCTTCATCTATTAGACTCATGTTTATCTTTCCTTCGATACATGACATAGAAAAATAATGCAAATGCTTAATGAAATGGAAAAGTTTTTGATGCACCTTTTAAAATCTAAACATAGTGTTGATCATATATTGTCCTGATTTTCTCTGTTTCCTTTTCAGCAACTTAATTTTAGGTTTCTGTATTTTGAAGGGATTAACCTGGGAGAAATTATTAAGAGAGTAACACATCGAATAATCTTGGAATACTGATGCTTAATGGGCAAATGCCATAACTCTTAACTATCATTTGAAATAAAAGATAGGAAAAAATCAAGGTCAAAATCAAAAAAATGAGTGAAAGATTTGTCGTAGTAAGATAAAACCTCTCAATTTTTATTCTCTCAATCACATATATTTTGTTGGAAGCTTAACAACGAAAAGAGATTTGAATACTTCGAGCATTAAGGTCAGATGTTAAATGAAAGAGGTACAGAACAGAAGCAATTTATTGAGTGATATGATTGAACACGTTTTGTAATCTATGTGAAATCTCATTTGTTTTCTGGATGTTGCATCCCTGACTTTAGTGTGGCAATGTTGATAATTAATTTCTCCTTTTCTTCTTATGTTGCAGCTTATTAGAGATGAGATTATTCAGACTACATGCCTAAACCAAAATCTCCTTTTAGGGACACACATGCTCAATCATACATCACATGATATATGCTCACTGGCACATGTCTGGAAAGGAAATGTATCAAACTGTTAATCTTAATTTTCTCTTCCAATATATGCATTCTGGAACTGTTTGGTCGCTGTGGAGAGTTGTTGCTTCCAGTATTTGTTTGTTTGAAAATAGTGTAGAAGAAAGCAAATCAGCAATAATTTCAAGAAAATTGTCTTCTATGTTGTTGCTATCTTTCCCCCCATGAAAGTGATTTGGAGATGAGAAACCATAACTTCATTTTTTTTCTTTTCTTCCCTCCAACTGAATGGCCTAACATTTTCTTATAGTCAAGGATACGGATGCACTTTACTTACAACATAAACATGGCACGTGCAATTTGCATGACTCTCTAAATGTTAAAGGTTAAAGATACACTGATAAGTTATTGATATTTTCATTGATACGGTAGGTTATTGTTGCGGGGGCAGCTGCTGGGGTGTGGGCCTATCAGAGGCACAGACAGAAAACTAATGTGCACATCATGGTTCTGAACCTTGTGAGAGGTGTTCCACTGACCCCCAAGGAAAAGGAAACAATTCTAGATCTCCTCACACCTCCCCCTCCACCTAGAAGGTGGTGGTGGGGTCAGTGACTCGTTGTTTCCTGGTAAGAATTTCTATATCCTAGATAGACATTCAGTATTTCTTTTTTAATGGGATCAAATTTTTCATGCTACACTGATGGTTTCTCCATGCTTGCTGCATCTGGACCATAACCTTGTTAGCATAATATTCATATCATTGCGACTTGTATTTTCTACATGTCAGCATCTAGTTTTGTAATACCATTCTAAATTGATTGGTTTCTGATATAATATTTTCTGGCTTCATGTTACTCTAATTGAAGCTGCTCTATTTTGAAATAAAAATAAAAAATAAATTTGTAAAAGAATGGTGACATAAACACTTATTTGATATACAGTGTTGTATTTTGACCAACATGGATATCCATAAGGGAATGGTTAACAATAAATTATTTGACATAATCAGTGGACATACATACAAATATCCAAACACATTTCTTAATGTAATCGTAATGTATAAGACTGAATAACTTCGTGTGGGTCAAAGTATATATAAAATTGCATAATGTGAAATAGATGATCTTTTTACTGACAAATACATTAAACACAAGATTGAAATAATTTTCCTTTTGGACATCAGTCATTGTATAATATATGGTTACCATCTGGATCAGATTCAAGGCCATATTTATTTTCACTATATATAGACACCGAGTTCATAATTACAGTATCAATATTCATAAAAAGAAAAAGAAGTTCAAACATAACAATACCTACGTCCATTCTGTATTTTCTAGCATTTAACATATTGCAATAACACTTACTGATTCTCTGTCTGTGAAATATGAGGAGTGGCATGCAAAAGTAGGTCAAGCTTTTTATGGACAGTTAATCCAAATGATTTGGACATGTCAAGACTCTCGGACTTGATTTTTATGGCAGTGGGAAGCTACCAATCAAAGTAGTAAAGCAATTGAGCAAGTGGAAGTACCATCATAGCTAGCCCAAATAGAATTCCTGGGCACATTCTCCTCCCTGCTCCAAATGGTAATAGCTCAAAGTTTGTTCCCCTGAAGTCTATCATGCTTCTTTCAAATCTCTCAGCTAAGACGAGTAGTTGTGAATGCATGGGCAACTGGAAGAGAGACACAATACTGGGAGGATGCTGAGAAGTTTAAACCTGATAAACTTGTAGACTGCAAAATTAGGTGTCTATCATAGATATCAAGGCTTCTTACTTTCTTTTTGAATAAGTATTGGACCATCTTTTTAGCTACTGAATTGTGTACCTATTAATCGTTGCCTTTTCTGTAGTTGTCGGAAATGCCATGAAGTTAACGGAGCTGTTTGTATATATATATATATATATATATAAGGTTCCGAGGAGAGGAGATGTGTCTTCTGGATATTACAATGATATTACCGGAAGTAGTTGTTAGGAAATTTTCCACCAAGGAGGTTAGTTTTGGCTTCCAGCAGCTTCAGCTTAGAGATAACATTAGAGGAGGAACCAGCATGACTTCGAGATAACATTAGAGGATCCAGCACTTTCTTGTAGTTTTGAAGGTTGATGATTGTTTTCCCTTTTGTAGTTCTGTTCTCATTTTGGTTGGGGGTTGAAAAAGGGGAAGGAGAGTGTCCTTGGGTTTGGAGTGTTGATTGGAAGAAGAAAGTGATGATAAGGATTAGGGGTGTTCAATGGGATGAGATGACACATCTCGCGAGCCAACTCGTGCGAGTCCAATCGCGAGGCGAGATGACCCACGTCTTACAATAGGACAAGTGGGCAGTGTGATTGGCCGCTTGTTCCTGGGCCTGGACCTCAGCCTAGCCCACTCATGAGCCTGTGTACATGCGGGACGAGCCAAGTCGCAAGCCAGCCCACTCCACTCATCTTTTTTTACTTTCTTTTTTTTTGTGATTCTATAAATGTTTTCAAATAGTTTTGAAGCATTGAACATTTAAAATATGTAGTTAATTACTAGCTGACAATCACTACTATAATAAATAGGGAAATAATTTTATTAAATAAAATTGTATATTTATACAGAATGATAGAGAGAAACATCATAAACACAGAGATTTTACATGGTTCGAAGCAAATTTTACATCCATGGGCAGCAAATAATTTTTCCACTAGTTTTAAAAAATAAATCATAACAAATTATAAAAAAGAAAATAGAAATAAAAAGAAAAAAGAAGAAAATCTTAACCAGTAACAGGGCTCAATTTTTCTTCATTCTTTTCGTCTTCTTCCTGAAAGAAAGTTGCACGTCTTCTTTGTAGTTCTTCCTCATCTAACTAATCCTTCAAACAGATACACATCTCTACATGTGCAGCGGTCAGTTGTGCCCTTCACTATGAAACTACTCGTCCACCCGCAGAAAATACTCTCTTAGAGTTAGAGGCAACTGTAAGTGAAAGGGGTTAGAAGTCTTTAGCTATTGTAGAAAATATAAGATAATTTTGTGATTCCCTTTCCACCATGCTAGTACATTGAATGATTCCCAAGAACGCTCAAAAAGTATTTTTAAACTCTCCAAATACATACAAAGCTCCATCACATTTGTATTGGATGTCTGCTTCTTTTTGGCTCTTGTAACCAATCTTGACATCTAATTTGATTTTTTTCCTTTCCGGAGCTGGAG